GGCGTGGTGGGGCTTGCCCTGTGGGCCCAAAATAGACAAGCTCGGGACCGCAGCAGTAATGCCGGGAGGTTGGATCTGCCTGAGAGTGGGGAGGGACGGGGCGGGGTGTGTGTGTGTGTGTCAGTGGGAAGGGGGCCACTGCTCTCTGTGTCGACATGACGATTCCCTCAGCTCTTGGTCAGGGGCAGGCTGTGACATTTGCCCCAGAGGTTTTGCCTGCTCCCCAGCAGGTAGCAGTGGGTCTTGGTGAGACCCGAGGGTGGCCTGGTTGTGCTTGCTGTCACCCTCTCTGTCCCTGTCCAGGGTGAGTCTGCCTGTCTGTGCAGCTCGGCTGGCAGCCCTTCTTCCAGCTGTAGCTGCAGAGAGGGTAACCCAGGCCGGGCTACCTCAGGGCCGATGGGGAGCCTGGCCCTCTGATACAGTATCTGCGGTAGGTTTTCATAAAGCCTGCTGAGAAGCTCTCGGAGCCCTCCGTGTTAACTCCGGCCCCAGTCCCCCTCCCCACACCTAGCAGGTTCTGTGGGTGTTGGTCTCAAGCTTCTCTGCTCCTGGGTCCACGGTGGGCCTGGTTGGTGGGGTGAGGCTGGGGGCCTCTGTCTGGCTGCCAGAGTGGCCGGCTGCTGAGTTCTTCCTCCTGGCCTCGCTCTGCATAGCTTGTGGGTTGAACTTGTCACCCCAAGGCTGAGGTTTGTTTTGGGAGAGGAGGTAGTTTCTAGAAGCAGCTGTGTAGTTTTCATCCTGCCTCATCTTGGCTCTGCAGTTTCATGATCTGCACTGAGCTTTTCTGTGGACCTCAGTTTCTCCATCCATCAAAAGGGGGAGGTCTGAAGCCTCTTAAAAAGTATGCTTTCAGCGTCATTTCTGATTGATTAGTAGTGGGTGCCTGGAGGATTCTAAAATCCGTGAATGGCTGAGGACAGGGGGATTGATTGGTAATGCCTGCTAGGGGTCCAACAGTGGGCAGAGGAGGTGCAGTTGTATTTGTGTCATTCTGGAGCTTAGGTGTTTCCTGCTCCAGGATGCTTTGGCTTAGTTTTGTCTCTCAGTCCTTTTTGACGGTTACCTTGGAAGCCCCCAGATCCTTTGTAGATGCTCCTATTACCCACCACCAAGGCCTAGACCCATAGTTGGAGCGATCGTTGGAGGTTACCGTGTGAAGGGCCAAGTGCTTCCCTGAGGTTAGCTACAGCCTCCCATCAGGGTCCATGAGGAAATTTCTGTTGGGAGCTGTTTTTAGAGGAAATGAATTCGTGTGCTCACACCAACCACTGCTTAAAAGGTGAAGAAATATGCTCTACCCCCAATACCTGATTTCTCTTCACACCGGACTATAGCACAGTGGGATGCCGCCCCTCCCACGGGAGGGGAGAGGAGGGGGGATGGGGGAGGGTGCCTTGGAGCTTCAGGATGTGAGGGACAGCCGAGGGGTCAGTGTGTTCTCTTTACATGGCTTCCTGGGAAGATGAAAACCTTTAATCCACTTTGTGGGTGGAATGAGAAACCGAAGCCGTTGTTTTAGAATGTACCAGGCAGAAGAAGAGTTATGAAGTCTTTTCTGACGGGTCTGCTGTTCATTTTGGTGATGACTTGAGGGAGGGAGGAAGTGGTGGCTGGGGACCAGCGTGAAGGCAGGCTGGAAGCTTTCCATGCCGACATCTAAAAATAAAACCCACCACAACACCTCTCTCTTCACCTCCTCCTAGCATCCCCGAGTGTTTGGAGAACTTGAAATTTCAAGACGTAGAGAAAAGGATCTTTGCAAAAATTGGAAACCAAGCCGCTTGGCTGTTTTTTTCCAAAATCAGCCGAGCCTCTGTGCACCAGACCCCAGGCTGGTGGGCCACTGGCTGCTGGAGATGGGCGTTTGCCAGTCACTGGGTGGCAGTGACTGGAGAGGGTGAGAGTAAGCATGCCGCCAGCCTCCACCCAGTATTTCCTGTGTCAGGTGCTCTGAAGGACATTGTCCCATTTTGTGCAGCCACCTGGTAATGTGAGTGGTGTTTTCACGTCCATCTTAGAGATTAGGAAACAGGTTCAGAATGTTGTGACTTCCCTCAGCGAACTCAGCTGGTAAGCGGTCGAGTTGGATTTGAGTGCAGTTGGTTTGTCTGTAAAGCCCATGGTTTTTCTGATAACTGGGTCTCCCCTGCATGTTAATAGATGGCTCGGTTTACTACATGCTTCCATACCTGTTATTACGTGGGCTTTGGCTACTATTTAAAAAAAGCATGCTGGCACCTAGGGTCAGGAACCAAGACTGTAAAATGATGGTAAGACCTGCATTGTTTGTCTTGGTCACGAGAGCTGTTCTTCCAGCTATTGAATGGCAGTAGTAACACTATAGGTGCTAACATCTATTGGGCACTACTGTATACCAGGCAATGATGCCATTTAATGGAAGGAAGCATTTGTGTGTAACCTCTCCAAGGAGCGGGAGGGAGCACATTTAAGAAAGTAACTCTTGCAGATCTTCAGCCTCCTCATGTGTTAGTTCCCACAGCTGATCTGCTTGGGAAGGAGCTTGTAAACTCTCCCGTCGGCCCTCCATCCATCTCTACAGAGGCAGTGCACGTAGTGGGGGTGGGAGCCAGATGCCCTGGGTTCATGTTTCTGACCGTCTGACCTCGGGCCAGTTTCCTAACCCCCAGGTGCCTCAGGCTCCCTGTCTGTAAAATGGGGATAATAGTGGTGCCTGTCCCCTGGGATTGCTGTGAGGACAAATTGCATTAATTTGGGTAAAGCAGTTGGCACCGTGCCTGGCATACTGGAAGCTGGTTGTCTACAGGAGAAGCACACACTCTCATTACCCACAGGCAGATCTGAACGTGGTGTGTGACCCCGGGGCATACATCCTTCTTGGGCACCATGTGACTGGTTGTTAGGATCCTGGGCAGGTGATGTAGTTCCAGTTCTTTGCTTGCAACAGAATTGAAAGAGGGCCTGATTGAGTTGTCAGATGATAGAACATTAAAAATGAGTTTTGATAATAAATTACTGTAATTCTTGCCATATAATTCTAAAGGAATTCAGAGAATTTGCTATGGTAAATCTCTTTCCTTTCCATTTAAAAAATTTATTTGAATAGGTGGTTTCAGCACTATAGAAATTGAAAAATGGAGGTAGAATTGATAATAAACACTGCTTTATTCTAGCAGTCGGTAATAGTCATCTCTGGATATGTGAAATAATTTTAAAAAATTACCATTCATCTCTTCTGAGATGTATTTCTAATAAGGTTTAAGATTATTACTTATACAAATTTATAATATATTTCTGTTATATTGATCAATTATGTACTAATAGTAATTGTAATAATAATTCAATCCAGAAGCAAAATTTTGACACTTGGAGCTTTATGGTCACATGAAATTAAAAGATTAAGACATTTATATTCTTTTTTCTTTGGGCCTCATACTACGATAGACTAATCAATGAAGGGCCTTCAAACATGAAATACACTGATAGTGGAAACGTCTCTGAGGGATGTGGGTTGGAAATTGGAGTTTGAGGAGGCAGAGGGAGCCTTACTATCTTTCCACGTGTTTAAGAAGCGTCCGATTCTGTAATTTTAAGATGGATGATGGTAGATCTCAAATCGCTGTGGTATTTAGATTCCACTATATCCATGTAAAAGAGAAACAGTAACAGTTTTATTCTGAAATGTTAATATTTACAATATGTTGGAAATTACATCCTCTACAAGTATTTAAACTTACGATGAGAAATGTTAGATGTCAACTTGAAAATGTGCAAATTGATATATAGTTTTAAACATTTATTTTGGGAGGTTTGGTTTGAAGGCCACTGCTTTAGAGTGTTACCCCGTTTGCTTCCCAGAACCAGGCTCTGAGGCAGACACCGCCTCGGAGCGGGGGACAGCAGGCCGGCTCTCAGGCCATCAGAGGCCCCGCTGGGACTGGGCCACTCGGCCTCTGGGGCCTGTGTGTCTGCTGAGACTCAGAAAGGCTTTGGCGGTGGGCTTGTCTGCGGGCCAGCTGACCTCTCCTAACGTGGGTCTGTTGGGCCAAGTGATGCTTGACAATAATAAACACCTGCCGTTACCTGCTCAGGTAGCGTGAGAAGCCCCAGGTGAGCCCGAGTCCAGCAGGGCTGGGAGGAATGGAAGTCCTGCTCTGTGATCAGCGCTGGGACTCGACTAGAGCACAGGGGGAGAGTGGGACGAGATGCCCTCCACCCCTTGTGTCCTCAGGGGCTACCTGTCATGACAGTGACGGTCGCAGGTACCTGTTTGCCTCAGTTGTCTCTTCTGTACTATTGTGATGAGGGTGCTGGACGCACAGGGCCCCTTGACTCCTGCATTTC